AAAATAATACCTGTCACTGTCTATTGCTGTCACAGGGGATATTTACATTCCCTGTGATAACAGTCAAAGTGATTCAAAAAATAAAATAAATGGGACAGTGTAAAAAATAGTTAAAAAAAAAATGTAAGCACCATCGCCCCCTGCGAGCATACGCAAGTCTTGGCCCTGTGTCAGTATGTAAACAGCAGCATGCATGAGAGTTATCGCTGAGGAAACGTCAGATCAGGGGCAGTAATTCTAGCACTAGTCCTCCTGTGTAAATCTAAAATTGTAGCCTGTAAAGGCTTTTAAAGCGTTGTTTATGGATATTAAAAATGAATGCAGTTTGTCACGATTGCACAGGGTGTGCACAGTTTTAAAGCATGTCATGTTTGGTATATACTCGGCATACCATCATCTTTTATATTTTACCAAAGAATTGGCCAATATATTGTGTTTTTGTGCACTAAAAGTAAAATTGTTTTTAAATTTGCATTTCAAAAATTGCTGTGTGAGTACTTTGTGACATAAAAAATTGCAGCACCTACCATTATATTCACTAGGGTGTCTGCGTTACAAAAATATATAATGTTTGGGGGTTCAAAGTAATTTTCTAGCAAAAAATACTGATTTTTACATGTGAACAAAAAGTGTCAGAAAAGGATGATGTGTGGCATCCAATGAGCACTTTGAAAGTCTGAAGGTGCGTAACGTCCTCATTTCACTTCCTCACTACCTATCACAGTTTTGGAAGCCCTGAAATGCCAAGATAGCACCCCCCACCCCCAAATGACCCCTTTTTGGAAAGTAAACACCCCAAACTATATGTTGAGAGGCATGTTGAGTCAATAGAAGAATTAATTTTTTTAGCACAAGTTTTTGGAAATTGACAAAAAAAAATATTTTTTTACACAAAATCGAATAAGCACCTTCAGAATTTTAAAGGGCTTTATTTCCTAATTACACTTACTGACTACTTATCACAGTTTCGGAGGCCCTGAATTGAAATAGTAACCCCCTCCCACCACCAAATTACCCATTTTTGGAAAGTAGACACCTCAAGGAATTTGATAGAATGCATGATGAGTATTTTGCAGATCTCATTTGTTGCCACAAGTGTTTGGAAAATTAAGGAAGAAAACGAAAACATGTACAGTCAGGTCCATAAATATTGGGACATCGACACAATTCTAAAATTTTTTGGCTCTATACACCACCACAATGGATTTGAAATGAAACAAACAAGATGTGCTTTACCTGCAGACTGTCAGCTTTAATTTGAGGGTATTTACATCCAAATCAGGTGAACGGTGTAGGAATTACAACAGTTTGCATATGTGCCTCCCACTTGTTAAGGGACCAAAAGTAATGGGACAGAATAATAATCATAAATCAAACTTTCACTTTTTAATACTTGGTTGCAAATCCTTTGCAGTCAATTACAGCCTGAAGTCTGGAACGCATAGACATCACCAGACGCTGGGTTTCATCCCTGGTGATGCTCTGCCAGGCCTCTACTGCAACTGTCTTCAGTTCCTGCTTGTTCTTGGGTCATTTTCCCTTCAGTTTTGTCTTCAGCAAGTGAAATGCATGCTCAATCGGATTCAGGTCAGGTGATTGACTTGGCCATTGCATAACATTCCACTTCTTTCCCTTAAAAAACTCTTTGGTTGCTTTTGCAGTATGCTTTGGGTCATTGTCCATCTGCACTGTGAAGCGTCCAATGAGTTCTGAAGCATTTGGCTGAATATGAGCAGATAATATTGCCCGAAACATTTCAGAATTCATCCTGCTGCTTTTGTCAGCAGTTACATCATCAATAAATACAAGAGAACTAGTTCCATTGGTAGCCATACATGCCCACGCCATGACACTACCACACCCATGCTTCACTGATGAGGTGGTATGCTTAGGATCATGAGCAGTTCCTTTCCTTCTCCATACTCTTCCCTTCCCATCACTCTGGTACAAGTTGATCTTGGTCTCATCTGTCCATAGGATGTTGTTCCAGAACTGTGAAGGCTTTTTTAGATGTTGTTTGGCAAACTCTAATCTGGCCTTCCTGTTTTTGAGGCTCACCAATGGTTTACATCTTGTAAACGGTGCGTTCCTTCTTTTTAAGAATGTTCCAAACAGTTGTTTTGGCCACGCCTAATGTTTTTGCTATCTCTCTGATGGGTTTTTGTTTTTTCAGCCTAATGATGACTTGCTTCACTGATAGTGACAGCTCTTTGGATCTCATCTTGAGAGTTGACAGCAACAGATTCCAAATGCAAATAGCACACTTGAAATGAACTCTGGACCTTTTATCTGCTCATCGTAATTGGGATAATGAGGAAATAACACACACCTGGCCATGGAACAGCTTGGAAGCCAATTGTCCTATTACTTTTGGTCCCTTAACAAGTGGGAGGCACATATGCAAACTGTTGTAATTCCTACACCGTTCACCTGATTTGGATGTAAATACCCTCAAATTAAAGCTGACAGTCTACAGTTAAAGCACATCTTGTTGGTTTTATTTCAAATCCATTGTGGTGGTGTATAGAGCCAAAAATGTTAGAATTGTGTCAATGTCCCAATATTTATGGACCTGACTGTATATATATTTTTAAAATATTTTTCAAAACCTTGCAAGAGAAGATGAGATCTGCAAAATATTCACCATGCCTCTTTTTAAATTCCTTGGGGTTTCTACTTTCCAAAAAGGGGTCATTTGGGGGGGGGGGCGTGCTATCTTGGCATCTCAGGGCTTCCGAAAGTGTGATGGGTAGTGAGGAAGTGAAATGAGGAAGTTACGCACTTTCAGACTTTCAAAGTGCTTATTGGATTTCGGGCTCCTGTATGTGGCTAGTGTAGCAAGCGTGCACAAAGAGATGGATGCGGTTCAACCCTCCAACCCTCCATTTTGTTAAGGATTCCCCATGTTGTCCCATCATCCCCCCTACCTCTCTGTTCATTTACAGTGACATGCGGCCTGTATGGTGAGGAGTGTCACAGGAGGCCAGAGCACAGCAGGTAGCTCCGAGCTATAAAACCCCAAAGGGAGCTGGGGCCTCGCTGTCTAAAGAACCTGTGCAATCTGGCGCATCGTAAAAGTATAACCCAAGCCTTCCCCTGAGTTCAAAGACATTACAGAAGAGTAAGAAACTAGATAACACTTTTAAAATCCATTTTCCCCTACGTCTCATATCTTGGAATATGAGAGACTTACATAAAAACCAGGTATATCTTCAGATTGGCCACAAGAAGACAAACAGTTTGATATGTCACTCTCCTTGGCTGGAATATATAGGAAAGCAGAAAATTATATCTCTTGAACCATTCAAGTCTGTATTTTATATTTCATATCTAACCGTTCCGCAGATGCATCTGCATATTAATCTACCCGCGGGTGGAATGTTACTTGTGCCTAGGAAAAGTTATGAGCCAAAATATAAGCTATGAGGGATTTTGGTTCTTGCACGGGTCTCAGCCCAGACAACCCCTCCCCAAATGAGGCATTGGTCCTTGGCTTCAGAGACACCCCCTCTGCTGGGGGATGCAAAATAGGCTGTCAGGCCTAAGAGTGGAAGTTGAAGAATTCTCCCTTTTTTAACATCAGAACCAACTTGGGAGATGGTGCCCTTTTGCTCTGAAACTTGATCTGCTTAACCCAAGGCTTTTTGGCAAGTACTTATCTACCTAAACGTCTTTCTGTTTATCTTTTTGCTGTGTTATTGCTCTCTGTATACTTATATATATATTGGTTACATCTTGTTTCTGTAAATATTTTTATTGCACCCTTTTGACCTTTTAGTAATAAATCTTTCTTTCTGAAAGTGTTGAACTGTTTCTATAGCTCTTTAACGCAACTTACGAATTCCTGCCGCTGAAGAGCACTACTATGTGTGTTTAACCCTCTGTATAGCCTGTCTGCGGTGACAGTGGTATCCAGACAATTATCCAATCATCCTAGTGTTATTGCTGATATTGCCGAGTTTCCTCTTTCTCTGTACAAAAAGGAGGTGGTGGCAGTGTGAAGGGTTAATTGCGTAATTAACCCGACCCAGTAACAATCGCGCTCAGGCTGCTGGGACATCGATTTGAGGTCCAGTGAGCTGGAAAATCATTGTGCAGGGTGCAGCTGGGCGTGGCATTGTTACGCACGTGACATCGCGGTTTTAAATTGGCTAGTCCTTCAGTCACGAGTTTGGTGAGAAGGTCTGACGTCGCGATCGTCACAGCTAGGCTCCTAAAAAATCTCACATGTATTCAACACTGGAATTATCAGGTACTGTAGATTCTTCAGCAAATGTAGCTTTTCGGAAGACTGAAGATCAGCACTGTGGGTGGAAGAACAAGTACATGTACTATAAAGACTAGAAACGCAAACATTTTTTATTTTATAAGTATAGTATTATTGGTAGGGATTCTGTATATTCAAAGTACTGCAGCAAATGAGTAAAGTAGCTCCCATTTTGTTTTTTGCAGGTAGGACTTTTTTTTTTTGTATTAGTTAAATAGTGACAGAGTCACTTTAAGGGATAATACATAAGCAACAATAAGTGTTTTATAGCTGTCACATTGCAATCAGCTGTTATTATCATTCAAGTCATCTAGCTTGTGATTGGTTGCTTGCTGCTGGAAATTGCTGTACGTTTGCTCCAGTTTCTATGATGAGCCTCATCTGCTTATCTAAGCTGTGAATTAGCTACTGAAAGTCAGAGTGTATGAATGATACCTGAGGGTTAATCTAGATGCATTGTGTGTGTGGGAGGAGTGTGTGTGTGAAAGAGAGAGAAGGAAATGCTGGAGATCTGTTGAACTTGTCAGAACTAGCAGGGAGAAATGAAGTGCAATGTTCTACTGTGTAGGATCAGAGCACAGTTAGGGCGTCTGAAGCCACCAGCTGTCCCTTAGCCTGATCGCACTGCAGGAAGGGGCTGCCATGTGTGTGACAGGTACTCTCATAGCTGGCTACTGGGAGGTGTTTTGGGGTGAGGACCTGTAATCAGTCCCAAGCTCTTCTCCATTCCAGGATGGGATACAGGCAGAGTGCTGGGACAACTGATCACTCCGACTTCAGTAGCATCTTCATGATGGGGACCAATGGCAAGAAGAAGGGGCTCCCGTAAGTGTCATTTTTGTCTTAATTGTACAGCCACTTGCTGTCACACAGATGTCATACAAAAGTATGTGCTGGAGAGGCTATGCCAGTAGATATGTATGTGTTTGTTGTGTGACCTTGTTATTAGGAGAGAGATGATTGACAGGCACTTTGAGCTTTTTTTTATTTCACAAAATAGAAGATCTGTACGGTGTTCCATCCTGTAAAAGTATCTGCTCAACAGGTCAACTGCTGAGATAGATATAAGCAATTCTGTATGCGGACAAAGCCCAGACACTTACCATTTAAATATATGCCGTATTTCTGAATATTTTATCAGAAGCAGTTATCACCTATTGTTGTCACCAGTTGTTGCCATGCATTTACCAGGCTATAACTAAAATGAAAACTGATCTTTCAGTTATCTGTCAGCTGTCAACAAATGTACCTTCTTCCCTTTAAATCAGCCTTTTCAAATAGAGTTCCCTGAAATTCTAGGATTCCTGTAGATGTTTTTATGGGTTTAGCAGTGATTCATTTATGCCTCTCAGGCAAGTAACCACTGATACCAATCACCTTTTTAGCTCTCTGTAGGGAGTGGGAAGAGCAGTCTTCCCACTGATTACCAATGTAAAGAACATTCTTCCCACTTATCACCAATATAAGAAGCATTATTACCAGTGACCACCAGTGTAAGGGGCAATCTCCCCACTGACTACCAGTGTAAAGAACATTTTCCCCACTGACAACCAATGTATGGAGCATTGTTACCACTGACCACCTGTGTAAAGGGCATTCTCCCCACTGACCACCAGTTTCAGGAGCATTTTTCCTACTGACCACCAATTTAAGGAGCATTGTTACCATTGACTACCAGTGTAAAGAGCATTCTCCCCACTGACTATCAGTGTAAGGAACATTATTCCCACTGACTATCAGTGTAAGGAACATTATTCCCACTGACCACCAATGTAAGGTGCATTATTCCCACTGACCACTAATGTGAGGAGCATTGTTCCTGCTGACCACCAATGTAAGGAGCATTCTTCTCACAGGCCACCAATGTAAGGAGCATTCTTCTCACAGACCACCAATGTACGGAGCATTCTTCCCACAGACCACCAGTGTAAAGAGCATTCTTCCCACAGTCCACCTATGTAAGGAGCATTCTTCCCACTGACCACCAATTTAAGGAGCATTCTTCCCACTGACCACCAATGTAAGGAGCATTTCACCCACTGACTATCACTGTAATGTACCTTGAGCTGTAGATTTTGTTCTTATTAGCAGGGGTTCACTGAGACCAGAAAATTATTTCAAGGATTCCTCTTTTCTAAAAAGTTGAGAAAGGCTGCTTTACAAATTGTCATTGCTGGTGCTGCTTATTTATAGTTTGTGTGCTACAAATGACTCAGTTCAGGATGTGATGTATATGGATTTCAGAGAGAATCTAAGAAGGGGCTAGTGATGAGACGTGTGTTATAGATTTCCACTGGGATATGTGGAGTCTGGAAGGACAAGCTTAGAAGCACTCTTTGTCCCTGGATGATTAAACACGTAATAGAATACATAGACAGGGTAGGTAAATAACCATACATTGTAATGACAGCAGACTTTCTATTTAAAGCTCTGTTTATAGCACAATCATCTGATTAATATGATAATCAATGAGGAAGCACATTATGAATCTGATAGTTATATTTGCACTTTTTTATTGTTTCCTATGTCTCTGTCACATCTTTAGGAGTGAAGGTCTTGACGCTATCAGTACTTGCGCATGTGATTTATAAACAGAGTAATATCCTGAAGACCAGATATGCTGATTAATACATTAAATAAACTTTCACTTTCTGCTTTGCCCTGTAAGGACAGAACCATCTGCTGAGTGTGCTTGAGATTTAAATAACAAGTGTCAGCCTCTTCTCTGGCACTCTCTGATCTACACAGCCCTTTCCGGAGATTGATGCATGCTTTTGTGTGATGCAGGAAAGGTTGTGTTGGAAACTAGGTAAAATGAGATTACATTATACAATCTAAGGGATGATCAGTGCCATCTACAGGCTTCTCCCAGTGGAAGGAGAAAAGATCAGTTTCAGCCTGGGTGCACACTTGTGCGGTGTGGCATATCGCATGTGATTCGCACAGGAACCGCACCGCATTCCTGTGCAAATCACATGCGAATTCTGTGCGATTTGAGCCATACACTTTGTATGGCTCAAATCCCACCACATCCGCACCAAAAAGGTGCAGGACCCTTTTTTGGGTCTGCACTAGAATCGGATCACATGGGTATTCACACCCATGCAATCTGATTCTGCACATCGCACCGTGTTTTGCAAACCGATTTTGGGGTGTTAACATACACAGCAGCAGCAGTTCACCTGAAGGGGGTGCGATTGTGATGCAGTGGAATTTGCACAGAAACCGCTGCGAATTCTGCACCACATCAGTGTGAACCCAGGCTAAAGGAACTATTGACTTCTATATCTATCTGTCTGTCTGTCTATCTATCATGGCCACCTTTATTACTAAGTGCCATGATTTTGCTCAGCAACATACAAAAAGCAGTATATACAAGACAATTGAAAAAAATAGAAAACATCTACTTTAATATATAGTGTATAACATAGTATATAGTATAACAAACAAATTCTGTAAACGAAATAATGCTGCTTACCAAATCCTTAAACCCCACAACTCTTGAGTTGTGGGGTCTAAGAATTTGGTAATTGGCATAATAGTTACTATATGTGGTGGTTGGTGCACAGCTGCTGCATAAAGATTTTGCATACTTTTGAAGGACTTTGGAATTTAATTTATAAGATGGTACTTGTTTGTTATACACTATATATTGAACTAAATGTTTACCTGACAGCGCAACACTATTTTTTCAGTTGTCTTTTGATATTTATGAGTGAAAATCAGTGAGTGCTGCAGTCAGGATTTGTTACTTTCTCGCCTTCATTTAATTTGGCAAGTGCAGGTTAAGCAAGTATTGAATATACAAAACAATGCTCCAAATAAAAAGATCTATCTATCTATCTATCTATCTATCTATCTATCTATCTATCTATCCACATTCGTTTCAAGCATTACTTGTAACAGCTTGGCTATATACAAGTGTGGTAATTTGTGCTTCAATTGTGTTCAGCACTTTGGAAAATCCCTTACCAATTGCTTGCCAGGTGTTCAGAAGGGAATAATGCTTTCACACATACTCCCAGATCTTGGCAGTTCTTGAAAACACAAGTAGTCACAGGACAGGCAGATGTGTCACCATCCCTTCTTCCTCAATGAGCCATCTGTCCATCGATGCCTAAAGTCCTTGCCTTACCAATATGCCAACAGTTGCCTAATAGCATCCAAAGTATCTTAAGTTCACCTTTAAAAAAATAATAGATGAAAATTTTTTGCAGGTAAAAAAAAATATGCATTTATTATTTTTTGTTGCAGGAGCTTGTACAGCATTGCACCAGTGATCAGCAGATCGCTGGTGTCATGCAAGTCTCCTGCAGACCTGTCAGTGCATCTGCGTGCCCATACATTCTGTACAGGCACGCAGATACACTGACAGGAGGAATCAATGAACTATCACGGCTCTCCCGAGCATTGTGATAGTTTATTGAGAACTACAAGCCAACAGCCACTAAGGCTGTCGGGAATTGTAGTTCATTCAGTCACAGAACGCTGGGAATGAATGACGTGGCTGTGTGGGCGGAGCCCACTTTTTAAAAAGTGACAGCTTGTACGAGGAACTTCTCCCCATACTACTGTCACAGATAGGGGGTGATCAGGCAGCAGCTGCAGCATTGTGAACATGTTACATGTTCCACCTTAAAAACAGGTGGAACATATAACATGTTCCCAAAGATAAACTTATCCTTTAATTTAAAAATGCCTTTGGTGAAAAATTTTAAAAGGTGCGGTGTGTTACCTTCTTGCTGCGTACCCTGTTAAGGATGTGGTCTCCATTGCTCTTCCTAGCATACTTTGGCATTCTGCAGATACTAAAATGCAATTCAGTCTTCCCTTCCTTACTACAAGCGTTCTTAAATTCATTTAATTTGTTTTCAGAGCAGCCCCCTTACATTGTGCAATGTTAAGCCTCTGTGCCTGGAGAAACTATGGCAACAAGATGTGAATACTACAGCTCCAAAAAGCTATTCAATTGTAGGCAGTTATAAAAAAAATATAATGGTGGTTAAAGCAGTATTAGACCCTAAACCAAAAATGTAATCTATTACAGCTTACCGATCATTAGATGTGGTGGCTGCATTAGTTTTTCTTTTAGGCTTATTTCCCTCTGTTTTCACCTGGTAATCTGTCCAGCAACAAACCTCCTGTATTAGAGTGCCTCCACTCTGGATGAATGAGCACAGGGGACAACTTTGGATAGTAGCATTGTCAGTCTGTGGGGAGGGGAGTGTTAGATGTGCTAACATATTTAAATACCTTTTCAAACTGAAGTCAAACACCAGCTAACACTTTAGAAGCAGTTGCAGCAAACTGTTTTTTTTTTGCTTTTGAGATAAAGGTTTTACATGAATAAATAAAAGCTGATCATTGTAAGCACCCCTATCTGTGGTAAATGACCTCAACCCTGTAATAATACATCTGCAGGACAGCTTGTTCTGTTGAAAAACAACAGACTTACTGGCCAGATTACCAGGTGAAAATAAAGGAAAAAAGCTTAAAAAAGAAAACTACTGCAGCCACCACATCTGAAAATTGATAAGCGACAGTATAATAAATATTTGCTTTTGAGTTTTATACTACTTTAGGTCTCAGTGATGTTCCAAGAGTAGTAACCCATTGCCAGAAATGATATTACTACACTGACTTCACAAAGGGGTTAATTTACTAAAACTGGAGAGTGCAAAATCTAGTACAGCTGTGCAAGGTAGCCAATCGAATTTTAACCACTTGCTCTCCTGAGGATTTACCCCCCTGTCCTGACCAGGCCATTTTTTGCGTTACGGCGCTGCATTACTTTAACTGACAATTGCGTGGTCATGCAACGCTGC